GAGCAGCAGGAGGAGGCCGGGCAGAGGACGAGGAGGAGGAGTTGGAGGCCCGAACAGAGCAGGAGGAGGAGTTGGAGGTCCGGGCGGAGCAGGAGGGGGAGTTGGAGGCCCGGGCGCAGGAGGAGGGGGGGGAGGAGGAGGAGGAGGAGGAGGAGGCCGGGCCGAGCCGCAGCAGGAGGAGGCCCGGGCGGAGCAGGAGGCGGCGGCGGGAGCCCGGCCCGCTCGCATGCGAGTCACGTCCGCCCACTGGCGCGGCCGCCGGGCGAGGCGGGCGGACGTCAAGGTGCCTCATGAATATTGATGCGGGGCCGCCGTCGCGGACGCAGGAGGAAGCAAGATGGCTGCCCTTTAGGGTTTGCAGGAAGGAGCCGGGCTGCGACCGCGGGAGCGCCGCGCGGCGGAGGACGAGACCGAGGTCAGAGTGGGCCCCTGGCGCCGCGGACTCTCCCCTCCTCCCCCCGCTTTCTCTCGGGCCCCCGGGCGCGGGGCGCAGACCCCGCAGGGCCACCGCGGACCCCGGGGGGAGCGGGGAGCTCGCGGATGACTGGAGCCGCCTCAACATGGCTGACAGCACCGCCCGGTCCCGAACCCGCAGCCCCGAACCCCCCGCGCCCCCCGCGCCCCGACACGCCGCCTCCCGGGACGGGACGGGGCTTCGCTTCCCGGACGGCTCGGCTTTGGGGGCGCGACCCCCCCGGACCCTCTGCCCCGCTCCGCGGTGCCGGCCGGACGGGTCCCGTCGGTCCCGTGCGCCCCCGGGGAGGGTCCGGCTTGCGACCCGCTCACCCGCCGCGGGGCCCGGGCTTCGCGTCCGCGCCGGTGCCCGCTTTGGGGGCGCCCCGAGCGGGTGTCAGCGGGATGGGACCGGGACGCGCCGAGCGGGGCTGCGCTTTCTTCCCGGTCCGCGCGTTCTGCGGGTGGCGCCGGGCGAGGCGGAGGGACAGCTTCGCCAGACCCCGGGCCGGACCCAGACCCGCTGCTCCCGGGCTGCGCGGGCCACCGTGTGCGGGTCCGCGCCCTGGCTTTGTGCGGCCCGGGCCGGGCCGTCGGTGACAGGCGGACACAAAGGCGGGCGCAGGCCGGGCGCACGGTCAGGGGCGCCCGAGAGGGGAAGCCGGGCTCGGCGGGCGGTGGGGGCCAGCCCCGTCCCACCTCTCCTTTCTCGCCCCTCTGCCCTTCCTGGGGTCTCTGCGTCTGCTCCCCAACCTCTTCTCCTCTTCTGCCTGCCTCCCTCTTCCTCCTCCTCGCCCCTCTCCCCTCCCCGTGCACGCACCGGTCACATCTTGCTGAATCTCTTCCTTGGGACCGCTGCTCCCCTGTTATTGTCTCATTTTATCAGGCCGGCAGGAGAGTTCTCTGCCCATGACAACATAAAGCAAGCGTGGCCTGGTAGACTCTTGGGAAGGCTGGCTATAGCATGCAAGTGTTATTTGCCGGTCGTTGCCCTCGTGATACACTTTTATTACATGGAGAGATTTTTCTCTCCCCCCTCCTCATCTGCGTTTAGGAATTGGAAAACGGGTTGTTTGGAAGTTGTTGGCTTAAAATTTGGTGAAATGTTTTCATATTTGCCTGTCTAAGGAGTAGAGTCCGTCCATGCATTTAAAATCTCAAATCACACATTGTGCTTTTTCCTCTCCAGTCGGGGATTTGATGGCTAATCCACATCCACAAATATTCAACACCAAATGATGCACTGTAGGAATAAGGTCATATCGTAGGGGAAGTTGGGGTTCCCAGAGAAAAGATAGGAGTTTGGTTTGGTTTAAGACTGTGGGTATTGTTTCCTGGCCAATGAAATCATTACATTTGCATTTTAATGGAAAGTTGAAATACTGAGGGGAGTTATATTCTTTTACAGGTTTGCATGTATATTTCATAATGTGTGTGGAGTAGAATATAGATTTCAATACAATAAATACTGATTTTTAAAGTGTTATTAATCCGGGAAATGTTAGGGAAGGACTGGAGATTCAAACTGAAGTTTAGGAGGCAATCGATAGAATTAAAAGATGGGTAGAGAGAAAAGCATAATAATAATGGCATTCCTCCATAAATCAGATTTCCAAGACTGTTTATCCTCAGTGGTTCATGTTGTAGCTCTTTGTATTTTCATCTTTGGAAAAGCAGTTAAATTTGCTTTAATCATTGATTGATACTAGAGGTTCTTTCACATGGTTACTCATCTCTGTGGAGTAGAAACAGTTCATTGGTTCTTATTTGCCCTAAAATAAGAATAAAGAAAATACTTAGGATTTTTATCATAAATGCTGTTTATGGTAAACTGTTGACAAAAACTTTGGTTAATTATTCCAGCAATTCAGAATTTAACATAAACAGTTCCTTTTGCTAACAGGTTAGTATCTATATGTTGGGGACAACTTTTCAAATGTTTTGGTATTTACTGTCTTCAAGCTATTCAACTAGAAATAGATACAATATTTTCCACTCAAATTGATAAACAAGAATACCCACAGTGGTTAATAACTTCGAATGTGACCACGAAGGCTTGTTCTTTTCTACCATCAAATTTAGACTCTTGTTACTTTATGCATCCTACTTTTATGCTGAAAATAGCTGCTAATTAATATTATATGAGGGGTTTCAATGGTTACAAGGAGGAGATATGTGTATGACTCACCAATCTGAATCAAAGTAACACTTTCTCCTTTGTTGGAAAAGAGGAATAAGTATGGGATACATAGTTTACAATGAAAGAGAAAAACCTTTACCATTTAGGTGATAGTCAGTGCCACCTGGGAACTCCCAAAATTCCATAGAACTGTCTTGGATAATTGAGTTTTAGTAGATTGATAATGGGCAATAACAGGGTAGATAGCTTTCCATAAACCATGTCATTGATTTGCTCATTTTCTTGTCGAACTAAACATTCATGAGAAATTCACTTGGAATGAGGCAAGTCCCTTGCCTTGCTTAAATTCTCACATTTGCCAAACTCTTAAGGCTTTAAGTAGATCTGGCTTTGGCCGGTTCATGCCAGGAGCCAGAGGGATTGATGTGACTTTGGTGCGGTGGCATGTGGCCCTAGACATCGGCCGGTCGACGTCACCTCCAGAACAAGTGAGATGCACCTGTCAGGTTGTCATGACAATTCCAGAGTCCCTCCTGGGCACTGGACTTGCATTAGGTAACAGAACTAGAGTTCGTATTTTGGTTTCACTTGCTGAAGTTAGAATTTCTCTGTCAATTCCTCCAAGAGTCGACCCACCCACGATGTTGTAAGCCAAATGTCAGCATTGAAATGTATTTCCTTATTTGCTGACCTTGTTAAGAATCTCTTATGATTCACAGACACACCTCGCAGAAACTTTATTTTCTATCCTGCCCCAAATCCAAGTTAGTAAATCCTTATGAAATTACCTTTGACATAAGATGTCCTCAAAAGTTATGGATGTTTGGCCTTGTAGAATGTCAATATTTTAGAATGTGTGATATTTAGAAAATATTAGGTCTGTTGTTTTATCCTTTTATTGCTCCTGATACAAGTTCAGTTGCTGGTGGTGGTGGTGTTTGAATAGAATTTCATAGATTTATCTAGCCGTCTCAAATTGCCAGAGAGAGTCTTTATTTTGTAAATAACCATGTAGACGGTTTTAATATAATTGTTGCCTATATAGGGACAGGCTAAAACTTTGGACTAGCTGTCGGTAGTAACATCAAAATGACACTTTCTCGGTGATTATGCCACTGTTGCACAACAGTTCCTAAGGGTAGTCATGTCACCAAAGCCAGCAGCAGGACAGTATCTCCCAAGCCAACTTTACATTTGGAGCCTTAACTCTGGGAGATTCCAGTTGCCAAGTAGAGCCGGTTGTTATCTTGGAAACCAGGCGGAAGAAAACAACCACAAGTGATTTTGCCAAATATACAGTATTTACTTGGTCTAGATCTCTAATTTCTCTTTTGACTCACTGCCAAAACTTAGTGAACACTGTGATATTATTGAAGGAGGTTGTTCGCTACATCTATTGGTTTGGGGTGTAGCAGAAGAGAGGAGTCCCCCAGGGAGACAGGGGGAAGTGAGAGAGTGTAAATCATTGCAGCTGCAGCCCGGAAGGAATTCTGTGTGGATGCTTATTTCCAGCATTATTTCGATCCTAGATTGTACATTGCAGAGAATGACAGGCTTAACATGGACATATAATCTTAATAAAATAGATTTTTGGTTGCCCATTCCAAAATGGCAAATTCTGTCAGTTTTGATGTTTGTTTTCTCCATTCGTCATGAAGTGTAGTTAAATGTGTCATGCTTGAAGACGTAGATGATAGCAGGTGGGCTGTTGATATTTTTTGTAAAAATAAATTCAGTGATAATGTCAACCTATCCGCAATTTATAAGAATTTAGAACTCAATGTTTTATGTTTACTGAAGGTCATTATTCAAAACTGTCTTGAAATCACATCCCAAATAATTTGAGAATTAAAATAAGAGATGAATAAATTGGGATAAAGTGTTTTTGAAGGATAATTTAGGACATAAAATTAACTGGTTGCTTCACGAAAATTACTACAAATGTTTCTTTTCAATTAGATTTCTTTCTGTGTATTGGAAGGGAGGGGTTGATTTATGTCTTGGTATTCCCTAGTAGAACCTAGTAGTGACCTATTCAGAGTTAAGATTTAGTGAATGACATAAAACTAGTGAAAAACCATGTCATTTAACTAGAAAAGGTATAATCTATTCTCCATGCATAAGAGAAAAGTAACATAGGAGGTCTTGGTGATGGTGCTTTTCCTTAAATGTAACTTCTAGAGACTATGACAGTTGCCCTGTAGAAGACAGCCATCGTAAGCATAAAGTTGAAGGGTTTTTAGTAAATTTATACTGGGATCACATGTTTAAAAATCATTTCAAAAGTTTTATTAGAAGCATTTGCAAAATCAAAACACACATGATAAAAACTCAAAACGATACACGTTCACAAGTATGCATCTCAACACAATAAAGGCCGTATATAACAAGAGCTGGGCTACCATTATACTCGACAGTGAAACACTCCGTTTTTTCTCTGGTATTAGCCACAGGACAAGGAAGCCCAATGTGATCACTTTTCATCAGCATAGTATTGGAAGACTCAGCCAGAGAAATTAGGTAAGAAAAAAAAAAGGACATTGAAATCAAAAATGGAGAAGTAAAATTCTCTCTGCTTGCACATGAGATGATATTATATATAAAAAACCCTGAAGACTATGGGATCACATTTTTAATTGAAATGTTTTTGAGATAAACATGGATTCAAATGCACTGGTGTGAAATAGGACAGAGAGAGTTCGTGTACACACTGCCCAGTTTCACCCAGTGGCAACATTTTGCAAAACTGTAGCGTAGTAGCACGGCCAGGATGCTGACATTGATACCGTCTATCAATCTTATTCCTCTTTCCCCGGTTTGAC